CAGCTCAAAGTCATCAGAATGACTTCTGTATCAAAGAGCTTTGGTGAGTGACAGGAGCAAGACTCGCTTTGTACTGCTTAAAAGTCATTATCCCGTGAAATAACTTTAGCCTGCCAAGATGAGAAAGAATAACAGATGCTGTTTTTGTATTATCTGCATTATTTCAGCCAGTCATCCTTAGACATTTGGGTCAAATTTCTAGAAATTTGTTACTTGCATTTGACAGAGGAATCACATATCCTAACCTCTTAGCTTGACCTTTCTAATTGGCGTCCATTTGTAATACTTCCCTTTCTGTGGCAATTATTCATAAGCTGGCTCGAGTATAGTCTATTTCTTTGCACATAAATCAGAGTGCAAAAATAAAAAAAAGATGATGTTTTACTTAAAACCAACAAGTCAATAAAAGAAAGTTTCTTTATATAATTGTGTGTTGTTTATGATGCTTAGATTTTTGAGACCTTTTATTCTCTAAAACTTTAAAGTAGAATAAACATTTGTTTATTACATTCAGCTGTATTTAATAATTGTCTTCAATCCTATGTGTAATTTTTAATTTTATAAACAAAATTTAATTTTTAGGGCATATGCCACTTTCTCATGATAGTATAGAATTTTCCTCCTAAATTAAATAAGTTTTTAAAAGCAAAAAAAATCAATTCTTTTATGAGAACTATAGTATAATTTTGAAGCAGGAGTGGCATCCACTTCTTAAACAACATGCCTCTGGAAAATCTATGAACTTTGATAAATGATGATAGGTGCAGAAAGGCTTCAAGACTTTTATACATAGGGTCTCTATAAGTTGTACTTAACAGCAATCAACAACAACAATGTAGTATGCTTTCTAGATCATAATAACTCAGGAAACAAATAGGTAGACATTTTACAATTCTTGCAGTGATAACAAGGAATTTAACAGTGATTTATCACTTATTTCAATAAGCTGAAATTTTAAGACATTTCTATGTTTACATTATACTTAATTAAATAAAACTAGATAATAGTAAGCACTTAACAGTATACCAAAGACAGTTCCAAGTGCTTTATATGTATTATATCATCTGTTGTAGTTGTTATGAGCCATTGAGTTGGTACAGACTTAAAGCTGATCCAAAAGTCGGTTTACAGAGGCTGTAAATCACACAAGAGGAGATTGCCCATCATTCTCCCATGCCTGTTATCATTTAGTCTCCAAATAAATTGTAAAAATAGGTCAGTTTCTCATGTCTACTGTAAGAGTTATTAAGATTCTCACCGCTGGGCCTATGGGTAGCATCACGATAGATGGTGAAAAGACTGAGTTTGTTAACAGCTTCAGTTTGCTTGGCTCTACAATCAACACTCTTCGCACCAGCAGCCAGGAAATTAAAAGATGTATTGCATTGGGAAAGTCTGATTTCAGAGATCTCTCCAAAGTACAGAAGAGCAATGATGTTAGTCTAGAGTCTAAGGTGCGCCTGATACAGGTCATGGTCTTTGCAATTCCTTGTTATGCATCAGAAAGCTGGACAATGACGAGAGATCATCGAAGGAGAAATTATACTTTTGAGCTATGCTGCTGGAGAAGAGTATTGGATAGACCATGGACTGCTAGAAGAACAAACAAGTTCATCCCAGAGAGGGTGAAGCCAGGCTGCTCTTTGAAGGCAAGGATTCTGACGCTTCATCTGAAATACTCTGGACATGTTGCAAGGCAGGATCAGTCCTTGGAGAGGGACATCATGCTTGGGAGGGTAGAGGGACAGTGCAAGAGAGGAAGACCTTCAATGAGATGGATTGATTCAGTGACTGGGATAATGAGGATAAGTGTACCAGAGACAATAAGATTGGAACAGAATAGAACAGGGTTTAGGGCTTGTTGTACATAGGATCTCTATGAGTCACAGGCAAGTCAACAGCACATAACACCAACAACCCTCCGATTACAAGGAAAGCTGAAATTGTAAAACTCTTACAAATTAAATCCTCCATGAATTTTCAAAAGTTGTAAGCAGAAATCATTATTATCCAACTGATTGTACTATCTGGTGGCCTGATGGGTAGAAGCTGTGCTGCCAATTCAAAGGTAGGCAGTTCAAGTCTACCAGCATCTCCTCAGGAGAAAGTTGGGCAATCTCCTTCCGTAAATAAGCATTATAGCCTCTGAGAATCCATTAGAGGGTTAGCTAGGAGTTGATAACAATGAAAACATATATTCTAAAAGGAATGAGGTGATACTGTTGTTAAAATGTTTGGTGGCAAAATCAAAAACCGTCTTCAGTTTGAAACCATTTAGCAGCCCTTCTAACATTCTCGGTACCAGTATCAAGGAGCTCAGGAAATGTATTGAACTGTGGAATTTTGTAGTCAGTGACCTCTCCAAATGATTGAAAGGCACTCATGTCAGTTTGAGGACTAAAGTGCACTTGAATAGGTTATGGTTTTCAGGCTGTGCTTCTGAGGACTGGGCAGTGAATAAGAATAAAAGAATTGATAACTTTGAACTGTGGTGTTGGAGAAGAGTGCTGAATATTGCATGAATTGACAAATGAATAAACAGATATGTCTTGGAGAAGGTGCAGCCAGAGTCTTCTTTGGAGGCGAAGATGATGAAGCTTTGTCTCATATAATTTGGAGAGAACATCATGCTTAGGAAAGTGGAGGAACAGCGAAGGAGATGAAGACCTTCAACCAGGGGGGTTGACGCAGTGATTGCAGCAAGTGTCTTGGGTGTGTTAGAGATTGTGAAGATGGCACAGGATAGGAAAGGTTTCAGATCTATTGTTCATAGGGTCTACTCAATTCTACTGAGTCACCGTGAGTTCAAATTAGCTTCATGCCAGTGATTTTTCTTTGTTGTTATTTTTGTTACTTTTTATTTTTTAAATAATTTTAATGAACATTAACAGAGATTTTGACTTTCCATTCATTCATTGCTGTACTTCTCTCCCCGCCCAGCCCTCCCCGCATCCCAGTTCGCTCCTCTCTTTGAAAAGTAAAAGAAACACTCTCTCCCTGGTACACAATGCCCCCGCACCCCTCCCACCGCCCCAAGTACATTCCACTATGCAACCTTAAGTTGCTATTTTAATGCACTTTGAAAGTTGGAAAAGTATAACCTCCATTAATGAATAACAGTTAAAGGAAACAAAAATTAAAGTACTAACATTAAAAAATAATTCACTTTTTCAAATATACTAAGGTGAAATTACTTGGTACCCTACAGAAAAATTGCAAATGTCTTTGAGATGTGTTTCAAGAATAGTAAAAATCATCGAAAAGTCAACGAGTGACGGAAACTAGACTGGAAGGGTTTTATTCTCTTTAAGACGCTCTAACACTTCCAGATAGTGTCATTTTCCAAATGATCAATAATTTGGAAATGCTTTTCAAACTGTATCAATAACATTAAGAACATTTTAAAAATACAAAATTAGCTCTCCTGGACCCTCGCTTCCAATATGACGAAGAAAAGGAGAAATAACGGTCGTGCCAAAAAGGGCCACAGCCACGTGCAGCCTATTCGCTGCACAAACAGTCCGCTGCCTGCCCAAGGCAAGGCAATTAAGAAGCTGTAATTCAAAATACAGTAGAAGCAGCTACCGATAGGGACATTTCAGAAGCCAGTGTCTTCGACACATAGGTGCTTCCAAAGCTCTATGTGAATCTGCACTACAGTCTGAGCTGTGCCATTCACAGCAAGGAGGTGAGGAACAGTTCTCAGGAAGCCTGGAAGGACAGAGCATCTCCACCCAGATCTGGACCTGTAGGTGCTGCCATGACCACCACCAAAGGCCACATAAGGATTTGATTCCTTAAAGGCAGAAGAAAAAAACTCGTCTGAAAATAAAGTGGAAATTATACTTTTAAAACATTCAAAATTACTTTTCCATTGTTTTAAACAGTAATCTTTTAAAATCTTTTATTTTATGTAATAAATTACGTTCCCATTTAACAATTTTTGTGCAATTTGTCCCATGACGTTGGTTACATTTTTTCAAAATGTGTCAACATTCTCATTATTTCCATTCTTAATGTTGTGTTTCCGTAAATCTAGTTTCCCGTATTAGTTTTATAGTAAATGTTGACTGTTTAGTCTCACATTGCTGAGAAGTAATTCTTGTAAGGCACTTAATCATTAAAGTCACAACAACAACAAATGTGGCCGTATTCAAAGGGCAGCTCGTGAAGACAATGCAATATGTTAAAATGAAATGTGCAAAGAGCTGAAGTTGGAAAAAGAAAAGGGCCAAACTCACTCAGTGTTTCTTTTTGTTGTTTAAATAATTTTTTTATTCTTAAGAAGTTTGGCAAGTTTTCACTGGTGTGTTTTCTCCATACTTATTAATATGAAAATGTATCACTTAAATACTATGTTTTGTATTATTAATAGTTTATAGGAATTAAATAAGAATTTTATTAAGTACCAAAGCAAAACTCACTGCTCAATTCTATCAAGTTGATTCTGGCTCATAACAACTCAAAGACAGGATAGAACTGTCCCGCATGGGTTTCCAAGGTTCCCAAAGCTTTACATTTTTACAGAAGCAGGTTGTCACTTCGTCTTCCTGCGGGGCAGCTATTGGGTTCAAACTGTTGACCCTTATCATCACCTGCCGAGCGCTTTAGCTACTGAGGCATCAGGACTGCTCCATTAAGCAAAAACACAAAATCACCATCGAAAACACATAAATTTCAAATCTGATAGGTTATTTCACAATATTATTTCATTGGCTGGTCCCTATTTAAGAAAGAATTACAATCTCTTTCAAAATGCAATTTCCAAATAGACTTGCCCTTGAAGTTTTTGTAGATTCTATAAGATCGTGACAAGAAAATAAAACACTTGATTACTTACAAGAAACACATAAAATGATATTGGTTAAGTAAACATAATTTTTTAATGTTTCTCTGGGAAAGTTGTCTGTCCTCTCTACCAGTTTGGAATATCATTCATTCTATTTTAAAAATATAAAATGTCTGTTAAGTTGTCAACAAATAAAAGTGGTTCTACTTACACTTGCATGGAGTTTTCCTTTTTTTGACATCGCTAAAAATTTGTTGCTGAAAACTCCTCGTATTCCTACAATCCCCTGAGACACAGCAAATATTTCCAAAATACCTAGGATGACAGAAATCCCAAAATAAAACACAGACTCTTCTATGTACTATTGTGAGGATTTACATTCCCACATAGATTCTTTCCATAGTGTATTACTGAGAATTTTTCAAATTGTAGTATGCAACATCTTTGTTTTTCATGGCATTCACTGTGTTAAAAAATAAGCTAGTGATTCAACGTTCATTTAAAAGATTATTTCCAGATTCAAAGATTTGGTACTGTTTCACCAGTGGTCCTATATTTCCTTACAAATAAAAAATAAACTGCTATTAGTGCACATTGTTTGACAAGGAAATATCTGTAAGCTTTTAAGGAAATGAAAAGATAATTTGGTGCATGCATTTAAAAAAAATTGTCATCTATGATTTTTCTGTAAAATGTCATTTTCTACTTTTCACACCAAGGCCTAAAAAGTGTATATTCAAAATTAATTCTTGAATGCCTTGAGAATAGTACATAGTTACATAAAATAAATTCTTCTCAAGTAAAAAATACTACAAGAATTTGAATACCATCCTCAATTAGTGAGCAGTGAATTTTAAGACTATATTTAAAAAAAATCCTGGAAGCATAACAAATAATTTAGGATTATTGGTTCAATGAATTGTTTAATGGAGTATGATTTGGAACATCTTGTATTTTTAATAACTTTCAAAAAAATAAAGAAATATTTTACGATATACTCTTACATTTTATATATCACAATTAGTATTGTCAACTCAATGGCCCTACTCCCATGTCTATTTTGAAATGCCATATCCACTGGATCAAGAAAATCACACATCACTCTTCGTATTTTAAGAAGGAAAAATGAAAAGTCCACATTTAATTGTAATTCAATCTATTTAATATAAATACATTTATAATGCAAATGAATATGTGAAAAACATGTTTTGTTAATTTCTGTCATCAAATTAGAAAAGAGAACAAATGAATACAGTTTATTACAGCTAAAAAGAATTCTGTCCTAGAAAAATGGAAGAAGGGACATTTTAATATTTCATTCTGTAAAAATTTAAACCTATACATATGTCTACTATGTAAGGTTCTGCAGAGGACTTTGTGCTGAATAGAAAAAAAATCACCAGATTTTCTTGATGTGTCAACCTTCTCTGCAGTATTTGAATTTACCAAATACGGGGTTTGAGTCGCAAGCGACTCGACGGCACCTAACAAAAACAACAACAGTGTACACTTATAAAATACTTAAATACCCTCCATGAGATGTATCGTTTCTGTGATTGGGGTGGTGGGAATGAGTGTGTCGGAGAAGGCGCGGTTGACACAGGATAGAGCGGCGGTTAGGGCTCTTGTACTTATAGGGTCGCTATGAGTTGCAAGAGACTCGATGGCACATAACAACAACATATATTAATATTTATGTTGACTGTTTAACAATGTATTATGAAGCCTCTATTTGTGACAATAATTGGTAACTATTATTTTTTTTAAATACTAAAGAAGTTTCTGAAAGAGTATAACAGAAGAGATTGGTTTGCTTTGTTTTGTCTCTCTTATAAATGTTCTCAGTCCGGAGTAAAGAAAATATATTTTAGGGAAACTGCAGCTACCAACTTATTAATAATATTTCTTTAAAAGGGGAGGATTGGGGAAAGAACCACAATCACTTTTGGTAAAAATCTTCTGAAAAATCAGTGTCCCATGAATCCTTTTCAACAAAATGTTATTTACAATAGGTTCTGTTTTGCAAATTATTTGGCTGTAATCTGTACTAAAGGATTTCAAAGACATAGTTAGCATTTACTCAAATAGTAACAAAATACACAGAATGCTTTGGAAAGTTAAGCACACTAAGCAAGAATCTGCCTTGCAATTCTGAAGGCACAGGGTTCGAATTCACCAGGTGCTCTGCGAGAGAAGGATGGGCAATCTTCTCCTGAGCGATTAACTGCCTCTGAAAACCTGCCACAGGGTCAGCTACGGGTCGGTTCTGACTCCACGGTACAACAGTAACAACAGAAGCATGAATTTCTATCAAAATGTCAAGAATGATAAGGAGACTGGCAATAGCAGTTTAGGATATTTTAAATCTGGGATAGGTGATTGTGAATAGTATACATACAAGTGTATTTAAAGAGAAAGAGAGAATAAGAAAAAGTGTATTAGTGTATAGTAATAGATACTACCAAGACACTAGAATTGACAGAAGGGGAGATTTTGCTATACATTTACCTTCAATTTATCCCTCATCCTAGATTGTTTTACATTATATTCTTGCAAAATTGTTTAGTCATGTAAATTACATTAATGAAAAAATACATGGCAGTGTAAAATATAAAACTCTGGTTATATATCTTTACATGTTAACAGTTAAAATAGAACAATGAAAGGGCTCTGTAATATTTGTTTCAGTGCAAATACCACATATTGACAGAAAACCTAATACAGTGGTATTCTGTTTTTAAGAATACTTCTTTTCATTTAACTTTTATATTGCCTGTCTGCTCTTCTGTGTGTTTATGTGATCTAAAATCCCATCAAAATGAATTAGAAATATTGGAAGAAATGAAATAATATATGTGAATATGCCATTATATTATTAGATACACCGAGGTTTCTTTACAAGTAAGTGGCAGTATGAAAATAATGTTTTGCCTGGGAATGAAAGGATTTCAGAAAATTACACTGAGGGCCAAAAAAACTTTACTTTTATATGTATCTATCTATTTAATATTCTGAAGAACACAGAAAAATAGACAAGGTAATATCAAAGAATTGTTCTGGCAATACTGAGATCGCTATTAAGATCATCATTTTCAAAGCAGCGACTTTGTGATGTCTTTTTTAAATCTAGACTGAGTATTAGTGCAGAATCTACGAGTTTCAACATTCAATTTCTTATCCTTACCCAAGAAATAATAGACTCTTGATTTTATCTGACCAATCTCCCTAGGAAAACATTCTATGTACATAAAATAATATATAAACTCTCAGGAAATATTTGTGTAAAACCATTTTTTAAGGGTCAGTTCCCCCACACACACACTTTTATCATTACCAAAAAATGGACTCAAATATATCAGAAATCAAAAGAATTGCATTGGTCTAGGCAATTCTGTTATACATAAGTACCACAATCACTAGATGGCAACTAACAACAAAAGCATTGGTAGGACTCAATATTAATACATTTGATGGAATTTATAATTTATTTTATGGCTTCTAGTATGGTTGTTGTTAGGTGCCATCATGTCAAGCAGAACTCACAGCGGCCCTGTGAACAACAGATCTGAAGCCTGGCAGATCCTGAACCATCCTCACCATTCTAACACACGTAAACCCACTGCTGCACGCACTGTCGATCCACCTCATTCAGGGTCTTTCTCTCTTTCTCTGACACTCCACCTTTCCAAGAATGATACTCCTTTCCAAGGAACAGTCCCTTCTAAGCAACATGCCCAAAATATTTGATATGTTGCTAATTTATAGCTAATTGTCAATAAAAAAAACTAAGGGAGGACAACACTGCCTCAGAAATCACAAATATTCAATGAATATTCACTATATTGGATTGCTTTTTTTGATTCTTTAATGGCCTATGTTTTCTCTTTCAGGAACTCTTCATAATTTGGACACAAGCCTTAATTCTCTTACATGGTGTTTTTCCCTTAAGAGTGGAGTACAATATAAATTAATTCACATTAAAGTGTTTTATCTTTACTAGAATGTCCACAGTTAAGAGGCAAAAAAAGATAAGTTCTTGACAAATGTCATTATTTTTTCTTCAACTCTCAGGTGGATCCATACGTTGGAGAAATTCTTATAAGGTAAGAATTTAAAAGGTAAGAATATCTTAGGATCTTTCTGGGTGAGTACAGATTATTAAATCCCCTTACTGGAACAGTCATGAATTCTGAAGCAAGTTTATTTCAGTAAAAACACATGTATCTAATATATGTGGCCAACTCCTCTCCGTATGATTTTACTGTAACATAAATATAGTGGTTGGTACAGTGATAGGTTCTTCTCCTTTCTTCTAATTTTTTAATGGATAAAGTATAGAAAAATATAGATCTTTAATGCAGTGAGAGTCTACAAACACGTCATCTAGAAATCCCCAAAGAGAAATGGTTTAAAATATTTCTCTACTAAGTAATAAATATTTTGTGACAACATATAAAATTAGTCTTAAAATATGTGGTTTAACAGTCTTCTTTGGTTAAATTTATAATAACTTTTTTTTACCTGAGTTTTTCAATTCAGCAGATATAGATTCTGATCTACTTAGATTTAGTTGAATACCTAAAGGTCAATTCTTTATGACACTAAGGTAGATAGTAGATTCAGATTTTTTAAAAAAAAGAGAAAAATTAGATGTTTTGGGTAGACTATATAAGTCACAAAAAAATATGGAGAACGTTACAAAGAGAGAGACCAGAAGCAATCGTTCAAACTGATCAAGAGGATACTGGGGTCCATCAAGATTCTTTCCTTTTGCCATATTTATTCAATACGTACACTAAGCAAATAATCTGAGAAAACAGGATTCTATGCAGAACACAGTATCAAGAACAGAAGAAGGCTCATTAGCAAGGTGTTACCTGCACATGACACATAACATCTCGCTTGCTAAAAGTGAAGAAGACTTGAAGTACTTATTGACAAAGTTCAAATATTATAACTATCAGTATGGATTACACATCAACATAAAGAAAACAAAAATCCTCAAAACTAAACAAATAATCAGCATCCTGATAGAAACAATACTGAAATTGTCAAAGATTTTGTTTTACTTGGAGCCCAAATCAATACCCGTGGAAATAGTGTCTGGGAATAAAATCATGTATTGCATCCTTTAAAGTGTTAAAAGCAAAGAAGTAAACTTGAGGAACAAGGTGTAGCTGACCCAAGCACTGTCAATTGCTTCTTTATATGCGTCTTTAAGGAGAATAACGAATAAAGAAGACTGAAGAAGAATTAAAGCCTTTGAATCATGGTGATGGTGAAATATACTAAATATATTATGGTCTGGCAGAAGAATGAACAAAGATGTCTTGGAAGAAATACAGACAGAATACTCCTTAAAAGTAAAAATTACTCCTTGAAAGTGAAGTACCCTATCTTTAGTACTTTAAACATGGTATCAGGAAGTTCCAGTCACTGGTGAAGGGCATCATGCATAGAAAAGTACAGGATCAGTGAAAAAGAGAAAGACCTTCAACAGGATCAGTTGACAGAGTGACATAGAAACAATTACGAGAATAGCACAGGGCCAGCCAGCATTTTATTCTGTTGTATATAGGATTACTCTAAGTTAAACCAACTCACTGGTACCTAACAACAACTATGTAGCCAAAGTACATTGCTAGATTTTTATGTTTTAGTTTTGTGTATAGAAACATTTTACTTTTGTGTATAGATTTAAGTGTTTCCTTTCTAACTTTGGAAATGACCTACTTGCTTATTTCTCAGCAGCCTAAGACAAGCCAACAGCAGTATTGAATGTAAACTATCCAAAATCAAACCCACTGCTGTTAAGTCAGTTCTGATTTACATTACAGGCTAGAAATACCTCCATGTGATTTCCAAGGCTGTAAATCTTTATGAAGAAGACTGCTGCCTTTTTGCCACTGAGAGGCTGAGACGTCTGAGCCACTAAATTTGACCACAATTATCAGTCAGGCACTTAAGATATCAGTTATTAACCTCAGAAATGTTTGCATTTGCTTCTATTTAATCAAAGCTCTTTTTAAAGTTTCTTATATTTACTTCTGCATCCTTCCTGAGTATTTACCCAAAATAAAGGTCTGTATGCAGTGAATTTGATCTCATTTTTTTGTCTTCAAAATTTTAGATAGCTATTACATTGTGGAAATGACATTTATCATATAATATATGCAATGTTGATATTATGTTTACACTAAACAAATTATTTTTAAAAAATGGAGGAACAAGACTATTTCTGCTAGTGGAAATGAAAGGTATTTATGATTTGAGGAAGGGGAATGTAATATCAAATGACAGTTCTGAAATATAGACATTTCTTTTCCTATCTGACAGATATTACAATGATTGGATTTATACAAAATCTGTTAGAATGTGGTTTTGTGTCAAAGCTTGAATTTTTTCCTATAGTAATAAGCTTATGACTTAAAGAATGAGTTTTCCACCACTGTTAACTAAGAACAGAATTACATGATGAGGCAAAATGCAGATTTACTCTCTGTGATTGTGACCCAACTCTCTCTTGAGCGTTCTAGAGATTTAGACAACTGCTTCTTCATGTACTCTAAGCAGACAAATTCTTCCTCTAATATTCTAAGCATGATACTTACTAATCCTGCTTTTGAACAGGTAAGTGACCAATTGAGCAAGCTGGCAAATATTTCTTTCACAGCTATGTAAGCAGGGAGACTCATTATATATTCCCCAAATCCACTTCATCTTAATAAATATGAAATATTTATTTAAAAAAACAATATAAGAAAACAATGTAAGTGTTTTAAAGGTAAAACAGCACTGAACACACCAGTTATCACTAAAAGAAAATCACTGTGATTGAAACATTTAAACTTTTCTCTGTAAGAAAAATCTATGGAAGGAAAAAGCCAAACCAAAACAAACATAACCAAAATGCCACCTGGGTGAGGTAGTATCTTGTTTGTGGTTAATGAGTGAATGAATGAATGAATGAATGAACGTGAAAGACATGCAGAAATTTAAAATCTGGTGAGTTTTGTAAAGTGGAGTAGATTAAGAACAGGTTAGTAAAAGCTAAGACTTTTATCCAGACTTTGCTTAGAAAACGATCTCTGTATTTCAGCATGGATCTTAAAATGAATTGTGCCTTGAATATACTTGTGGCAAGTCAATGTATTTTCTTTTATCACTAAGTGTATCCATTATTAATCTGTGCCCTCCTTTCTACAGCTTCTCCTTTTAAAGGCCTAAGCTCCAAATATTTTAACTTAGTCTTCATACATTGTATAGAGAGAATAAGCTTTGTTCACAGAGATCCCCAGAGCCAAAACACACCCCAGACACGATCTTCTGGGCTTGGGCTGCGACTTGGTGCCACATGCTAACTTTTTAGTCTTTCCTTTAGAATGCAGACACTGTACTCTGTCAGTGCTGGTTCCTGGGATGAAGTTTAAGAAGAGAACAGAGAAAGTTTTCCTAGAAGAGAAAGGATTTCTGACTGCTGGCGGTAAGGAAGAAGCTCTGATGGAGCAAAGACTTGAGTGTGACAAATGGAAATCCTAAGATGGATGTAACTTCCACTGATCCTGAAATCTTGGAAATTTTCCCTTCACCCCAGCAGACCCTGCCTTTATCACTAAAGAGGGGGTGGGGAAGGGGAAGTTACTTGATGTGAATGAAATGTCCTTAAAACGCGGGAGTGGGCTCCTCTACGGAAGTTAGGGAACGTGTGCGAGGTTCTCTGACTCCTCAGGCTATGTGTGAAGGGTCCTCTCTCCTCTCAGAGCTCCAGCCTACCTCAACACAGCTAAAACCTCACAGTCCAAAAGAGCAGACGAGGACAAGTGAGAGGACGTGGCTGGATCCTCTCTCCTAGGAACCTCTGAATCTTCCACACCCTGCTGCCAGACTCCCAGAGGCATTACGCACGAACGAGCGAGCGCACCACCAACTCCAGGCTGCCAGCTTGCCTGCCAGACCTTGGAGACTAGAAAAGGGAAGGCTAGTAAACCTTGGGGCCATAGGTCTGAGAAAGGGTGAAATGGGTACTCCCAGGAGCTTCGCTAGAGGGCGGGTGAGGTGAGCAGCGCTACCTCCCGAGCCCATTTCCTTTCTCCCTGGGTATCACAGAGGCCCCGCTGTGGTCCTGTCTGGTGGACAGTCTCTTCTGGAATTGCGATGCAGCCGAGCAAAGATCGGCATCGCCACGCACGCAACCCAAATCCTCCTCCTTAGCTACTGGAGGCCATGAGTGGAACAGAAGAGGGCAGGTAATGGCCAAGGAAAACGCAAGTGGGGTGGGGAAAAGAGAAAGGGGGAGGGAAGGAAGGGATGGGCTTGCGAAGTGAAAGTTTTAGAAAAATTCTATATGGACAACTGCACCGTAGTAAACCTCCTCTGAGGTTTCTTCTAAAATAAAGAACTTCTTCATAATTGTCCTTGATGTTAGACTGGCCCACTCTTTCCTACAAGGTGCTGCTATGGCATTAAGAGGCTGATCATTGTGGATCTCCACTCTAATTAGGCATTTGAAATGTCCATCAGGTTTCCTCTCTAAAAATGTCCAGTTTTCCAGATCACAAGCTGAGGATATCTGATCTACCCTACGAGATATATAGATACATATATATATAGAGAGAGATTTATATATATAAATATATATATAATTTACATGCATGTAAACCTCTTGTTCATAGTGTACCCAAGTGCTTATATGTGTGTGTGTGTGTATATATATACATAAGACATGCATACATATATGTGAGATATATACATGTATATAAGTCTATATAGAGAGAAGGAGAAATGGTTGGAATGCTCGGTTCTTGCAAAATAACTAACTATTCAGTTATGGGGCAGAGAAGAGGATGTCCTTGGATACTTAATGAAAAACGCAATCCTGAATCATAAACAGAAGGTAACTAGAAACTGAAGCAGGAAAAGACTTGAGATTATTGTTTTTCCTCCAGGCACGGCTCTCTGGGGCCATGGCAAAGTGAAATGAAAATAAGGTACGTGTGTGTGTGTGTGTGTGTGTGTGTGTGTGTGTGTGTGTGTGTGTACCAGTCCCTGGGTAACTTATACCTAAGGAATCTGCCCTCTTGCCAACATGCGGGGTACATGTGCGCCCGCACATAAGTAAGCATCTCTGTCCAATCTTCCTTGTTGTTTCCAGGACTCTGGGAGGGAGGAAAAGGGTTCCCCTAACCCAGGCTCTCTGAGAAGGACCCCCAGAAAGTAATGAGCTGACCCCTTCCCCAATCGCTCGCCTAGGACCAGTTTTGTAGAAAAGCAAGCAACTTACTTAACATACTGGCTTCGTGGGATCCATTGACTTTGCCATCCGGGTGGATCTGCAGATGGAAACCGATGCCCACCCTGCAGTAGAGGCTGCCGGTTCGGCGCCCCGAGGGGCTCCACTGGAAACTGCTCTGTTCCAAGCCGCTTCCTTGGCTGCTCAGCGAACCCGCGGGAGAAGAAGAGGCAGAAGAGGCAGGCGTTGCGCTGCTGCAGTTCGGGGCGGCACTAGTGCCTTCTGGGCTCCTGGCAGTGGTAGGAGGTCCTGGTTGCCCTTTGGGGGCGAGGTGCTTCTCCCCGAGAGCCCAGGCGCTGAGGATCAGGTGGCTGAGGAAGAAGAGGAGGAAGAAGGACAGGCTCATTCTTCCAGCCGCGGGGGTCCTAAGTGCATCTTGCAAGGCTGGTTCTGGGCTCCGTAGCCCTCGTGTGGCGGCGGCGTGCCTCTGGCGCTGCCCCCCGCGCCGCACCGGGTGGACATAGCCTCAGGGGGAAAGGGAGGGAGAGGGAGAGAGAGAGCGAGAGAGCAAGAGAGGCCACCAGAGCGGATCTCAGCGTTGGCACCGGGATATTTATAACGCCAGTGATCTCACTGCTCCGTGCACGCCTGCGAGGCTTCCCCTCACCCGCCGCTTTGTGTACTCGCTGGCTGGCCAGTCCTGGGAGGGAGCCCCGCGGCCCCGGGGGCGGGGGTGTAGAGGAGGGAGGAGATGGGAGAGAGTGAGTGGGAGGAGAAGCTGGCGGAGCAAAGCTGCACCCTGGACGCTGGGTGCGCCCACACCCGGGCCACGCACCCCAGCAGTTCTCACGCGCAGCCCGGGCACCCCCACCCCCAAACCTGAGCCAACGCCACGCGCAATCCAGCCTCGCGTAAGCAGTTGAATTCAAGGGAAGCCGCGGGAGGGGAAGGGGGAGGGCTGAAAGCTAGAAAGGGGTGCTACCCAGCATCACCCCTTCTCTCCTCCTCTCCGATCTCCACCAAACACTTGCGTCCCAGGAACGCACTCGTGCCCAATGGCGCGCGACCCAATTGCCAAGTTCCCTTCCCTTTTTCTACAGCAGAACCGCGCTCTTGCAGCCCCTCTCCCGGAATCTCCGTACATCCAGTGCCTGCCTGGGTATTCGGACGTGCCCAGAAAAACTGGGATTCACATTGTAACTCGGGAAGGCTTTCTTGTGGCCAGGTTGGGGGAGAAGGTTGGTTTTGGTATCATTTTTATTGTTACTGATTTCTCTAAACAGCCAAAGAGTGTTCATTATAGCTTTTAAACAGCTATCCTGAACGTGACGCCACACTCCCAACTGCTTTCCTGGCGGAAACTCTCAGTCCTGCAGAACGCTTTTTGCATTTGAGTTTGTTTTCCCATCTGTGAAGCTCTGGGGTCTGGGTTCTCTAGGGTGACCGCAGAGACACACTGACGCTCAAACTCCGGCAAGAGGAGTAGGGTCTGGGCACCGGTTGTCCTCTCTTGCCCTGGGGTCCCCAGTGGCAGGAAGGATTAGCTACTGGCTCCCTTAGGCTTACTCAGAGCCTCCATTGACTGAAGATGGACCCCAATGAATGATTAATGACTTAAGCCGGATTTCAACCTCAGGAAATCTGAGAATGGAGGATTTCCCTGTGTGCAGCGCCTCGACTCTCATTTATCTGAGAAGCATACCTGACTTGCATTCTTGGAATATTTCTGTATGAAGACCTATTTGAAGCTTTATACTAGGCTCTGATACATTATGGATTGGTTATTTTAATAAAAAGACAGTGATATTCACCCAGGAAGATCAATTCGTATAAGCAGAAGTTAATCAAAAGGTATGATTTTATCCATTACCGAGTACTCAAGTAAACCTTCCTATCTCGATAATGAAAAGTATATAAAAAACATAGATTTCAGGATCAGAGTTCTTCCCTGGCCAGGGCAATAAAAATAGCAGGGTAGTTCCAAAGTTACCTGGACAGCCCAGGAAATCCACTTCACAGGGTGAAAGAACGCAAACCACCCATAAATGTGTGCCATAGGGCACGAAACCTTGACCATGAAATGTAAGATGCTGTTCTGGGTTGAATCCCCCTTCTAGGTCTAAGCCCCACGCTTCAGTCTTAACTGCTTGGAAGGCAGACCGACAATCCTCAAAGTGGACATTCAGAACAGGCATGTGGCCCTCCGAATGGTCCATTTGGCTGAAGTCACCTACCTCCTTCCGGGACTGGTTCATTACAGGATGCCGAGCATGGGCACTGCGCCTTCTGCTGGTAAAGCATGTGACAGAGTGGCTAAGCTTTATGGCATCATCTGTGTGGCTGGAAGGTTACGTGGACGGGTCTACTGTCCATGCCTAAAGCGACAAAAATTTTCCAACACAACCCCAGCTGTTTGTTTCTCCTCTTTCTACCAAAGTAGTTGACTGAGAGAACGGGAGAGTGGTAATCTTTCTAAGATTAACCATCTGCCGCGCGTCTCCAAACCAGAGAGGCCAACGTTTCCAGAGCTAAATGGGTCCTCTCACTTTTCTTCTTCCATCCAGCTCCGCAGGCCCCACTCTCACTGAAAGGACACCTTCCTTCTAACAACCGAGTTAGAAACATGTCTTTAGCTAGAGATGGTCCAAGAAGGGCTCAAAGGCACTTACTTGGATCTATCTCATCTTGGATCCTTACTTGGCGCACGTTTTGGGGCCTCAGGGTAGATCACCAGGATCAGAGAGGGAGGGAAGTGAAAATGACCAGTTCTTGTCCTGTGCGCAGTGGTTTGATCTTAGTGAATGGGACCTTGAGCTGATTCTCAGCTTCAGTGCACTCTTAAGAGGGGATGTGTGCACATACACGTGCGCTTTAAACAGAACTGACACCAGTGTGCGAGACCAGGGAAGGTAGGTTACTTTACATTTTTAATGTGAAACAAGAGTATTAGAAATACATCTCAGTCATGAGAAAAAAGTCTTATAAAGACCTAAAACAGAAGAACCCGCCTATCTATACGCTGAGCTATCAACCTCCTTCCTACCCCGCCTCCGCAGAGGGAGCACCGCTCCAGGCTGCGCCTGCCCCGACTGCGTCTTGCCTCAATTGCCACTTGCCGCGCAGCTGGTTTCTGTGAAGCCAGGCTCCCAGTCAATCTGAGGTTCGGGGAAAAAGCCTCTTTTCACTGTACCAGATAACGAGGACTTCCAGGGTGTAAACGGCACTCCCAAACAAGAGCGCAAACCTATTCCACTTTTCTCTGGCGACTTTCCAGAAAAGTAGATCACTCAAAGTCCCTTGGTTGGAGCATTACAGTTGCTGTTCACTCGTAAGCCCCTAAAGCTTGGTCAAGGTCAAAAGGGCTGCTGTAAGCAACTGGTGCGCAGCACTGTTCACTAATTTCCGTGCTCTCCCAGCTCCGGAAGCAAGGGTGGGGAGAAGGTGTGTGAGCTTCGCCCCCCCCCTCCTCCCCCCCCACCGCAGAGTGCAAGTAGACTGCCCTACAGAGACTAGTTTGCACTCCGCTCCACTTGTCTGAAAACACACTCCCCTTGCAAATAAAACAAAACAAAACAGAACATAAACCACACATACACACACACACAAACACACCAGCCCTCCACTACCACCCTACCAAAAATGTGACTTACAGCCTGCCTTGCGCTGCGCGTGCGTGAGCTGGAGCTTCCACTAAGTAAAGCTCACTTTTCTCCTGTCTCCTAAGTCTTTGAGGAAACTGGAGAAAGAATTTTACCTTAGAGCAAAGGATCAGTTCATAGTCAGATGATTATTTGTGGGTTTTTTAGGTAGAATTCAAAAGACTAAAAAGAAAGATCAGGGCCAGGAAGCCTCTGTCCAAGTCTTTATTCGCTTCAGGGATCTTTACAAGCTTTCTCAAATTGTTACCTTGTCTTGACAAGGGCTAGGGAGCGCCAGCACTGTAGAGGTGAGGCCAGGAATGTACATTTTAGTGTACTGAGATGCAATAGGTATATAGTGGGAGAGGTAGAGCAGAAGAGAGAGAAAAAGCATCCCCAGGTACCTCAGGAGACCCCTCAACCCACAAAATCCCTGTATGCGCCCTTGCTTCATGTGCCTCAGTTTGCACCAAAACCCTTAAAGATTTTTGCAGTTGGCCTGTTCCAAGATTTTATGAAGGACAATAGAAAACAAAGTTTTCTTTTCCTTAATTCATCTAAGCATTAAAACCCCAGAGAGTTTCAGAGGGCTTTCCTGTGATGGATGTTTTGGGCTGACCATCTCTTTTCTCTTCCACTATAATAGTTGTTGTTAGGTGCTCTTGAGTCAAGTATGACCCACAACAACACTATGAACAACAGATCTGAACCCTGTCCTAGCCTGTGCATGATCCATTGTGGCAGTCATCATGTCAATCCACCTGGTCGAAAGTCTTCCTCTCCTTCGCTGACCCTCAGCCTTTTTGATCATCATTGTCCCTCTCCAAGGAATAGCTCCTCCTAGCAACATGCCCAAAGTATGTTGGGCGAAGCCTCATCATCTTTGCCTCCAAAGAGCACTCTGACTGCACCTCTTCCAGGAAGGATTTGTGGTACTTTTGGCAGTCCATGGGATGTTCAGTACTCTTCTCCAACACCACAGCTCAAAGGCATTAATTCTTCTGTCATCCATTACGGCAAGTGATCAGAAAGATGATGGCCTGCATCAGACAAGCCTTGGTCCTCAGGAGTTACTCCTCGATGATTTGAGAGGTCCCTAACCAAACCGAAGTCTCACTAATAACATTTTTCCTAATAGTAAGTATTACTTTATTGCAACCAGAGCCCAGATGACCTAATGGAGACCCAGATACTTTGTGGAAGGAATGAGGAGCTAACCTTGTTGGACCTTCCTTTACTTCATCCAGCCTTGGCTTCACATCAGTTAAGTCGGCAACAACAACAACAACAAATAGTCTGAGCTGTCCAAGGAAGGGGGAAAGGGTAACTGCATCAGAAAGAAACAAAGGCTAAGAATAATCAGAGTGCACATGAAAGGAGACGATGGTGTGCTTGAGGTAACAGCATGTAGCATCCACTCCCGTGAGAAAGGTATTGTGTAATGGAAGCTGGTTTCCCATGTGTCAGAAGGTAAGTCAAGCATTGCTACAAGGAAGGTGCCTTTTTTTTCTTTTCTTTTTTTTTACTGCTTTATTTACAAAGTCCGTATACATTATTTTTCACACTGGGTCTTTGCTATTTCTTGCACTCCTCCCTTCCTCCCATCAAATTATGTGACCATATGATTACCCCCCGCCCCCGCCCATCCTAACCTCTCTTCGTGACCTGAATGGACTCAACAAAATCAATTCATTCTTCTCCATCTCATAAAACTCCATTCTTATGTTTTGTGGCTAACCTGGGAACATTTTTATTTTCTTCTATGATGCATTCATGTTGCCTGAAAAATTGTGAGTCCATTATCCAGTGTC